AAAATAACCCCGCCAATAGAAGGCCCCACCAGTCAGGATATTTTCTGAATAGCTCTTCAAGCCTTTTACCATAGATTTGATCTCGTTTTCTAATACTGGTGGCCAAAGAGGTGAGGCTTCAGTAAGTGATAAATCACTACTTAGAAACTGTTTCTCAACAGGTCATGATAGCAGTTTTCCCATTCCTCGGCAGAGATTGGTATATCGAATGCAAATCTCCATTCTTTCAGGATTCTGGCTACAGAATGGCAGACTATAGCTGAATTATGACTTTTTGCTGACAGCTCAAGTCCTGGCCAAATTGAGGCAGCATAGTTTTTTTGTCTTGATTTAATGAGTTTCTTATATTTGCTTCTTAGAGACAGCATCGTAGCTTGTATATGTCCAGAGAGATGCTGTTGTGCAAGTCTCATAGCTGCCTTTGATTTCTTTTTCATCAAGCGGCATTCATTGTCAAACCAAGGAGATCTACCTATAGGAAAACTTTTGGGGGAGGATTTAGTTATTAGGTGTTTCTTCAACTTACGGCACAAATTGGTGAATGCATTGGAGACTGACTGCCAGTCAGCCATGGGTGACTGGATTATTAAGGCCCAGCTGATAGCATTTTCTGATTTGAGGCTATTCAATATTGCCTTGAATCTACTTAGATTCTATTGGTATCTACTTTGGACCATATTAACCTTTTTTTTTGACTCACCTCTGAGTTAATAGTAACCCACCTGTCGGCCACGTTATACGATCTTAAATCTGAATGAGCTGGGATTTTCACACTCACTGGCTGATGGTCGCTTTCTCCTCTTGGATAGAGAAGAGGTCAGCTTTACCTCTTGATACACAAATAAGATCTAACCCACTGCTTGCCTCGGCTGAATGAAAGGTGTATGGATATACATAATTATTATCCTTACCTCCCAAAATCTGAAGATTACATTTAAAAATCAATCATACCAAGTGTAAACCAGCAGTATTACTTTTGTCGTCTCTTGAAAACCACTGTGCATGATTATCAAAAAATTCATTTGGAAGTCCACTGTATTGAGCAAAATCATGAAGCGATTGGCCTAGTTTGGCATTAAAATCACCAAGCAATATGATTATGGCTTAAGTATGCAAAGTAATTATTTCTTCCAACATTATTTCTAAACAGTAATCAAAGTTATAGTAAGATGTGCTTGGGGGAATATAAACATTTACCAGTATGAGCTCAAAATCTTTATATCTGAATTTCACAGCCAGTATATGAGGGGGTTTATCCCCATTATGTAATTTCTCACCCTGCCATTGCAATTCTTCCTTAATAAGAATGCATGAGCTTCCAGAGGCTCGCCCTTATTTGGGCAGGAGTTATTCTAATTAAGTTTCAGGGAATCAGAAAGATTGTTTGGTATAGAACAGGTTTTGTAGCTCTAGGTATATTTCCATGTAATTGTTGACCTCTTACATATTCTTCTTGACTGCTTTGGCTGTTCCTTCACTTCCTGCTTTTGATGTAGTCTGACTGCTTATTAAAGACACTGTGTTTTCTTCTGATCCTCCAAACATAACATTGGTGACAAGGATGGGCTTGAAGAGAGACTGGTAAACCATAAAGGATACTAACAAGAGAAAGGAGACTCGGCAATACTGTGAGTGATATCTGGAGATATGGTTGGGCATGCTGGAAAAGTGGAAGCTGTTGATAGTGCTGTGGAAGTGTGCCCCAAATATACAGACAATGAAATCACTGAACAGAAGTTCAAGAAGTACTCTGTCCAACG